TCTCCCCCGGCAGGTGGGCCAGCATTTGCCCACTGGATGTCACCTGTCTGTACAACCTCAAGACCTGCCTACAGCCACCTGCTGCCAGGAGCACCAGGTTAGGAGGACAGCCCAGTGTCTGGGCCCTGAGAGCCTTTTTCTCTTCCCTCCTATACCCCACCCACAGCCCAGCTTCACCACGACAGAGCTGGCCCCTGGGACACCATCTGCCCCTGAGTTTATTCGGGGACAGCTAGGAATAATGATAACAAGGACAACTCGAAATCCCCGTGCTAAGTCCTGCTCAGGGCACTTCCACATGGCAGGAAGCAGGTTTCAACAACCTGTCAGCCACACGGCTGCAGGTAAGTTGGTTTTCCCATCTACACAAAAAAATGATCAAAACATATAGTGAATGTTTAAATTTTTTAAAAATTTATTACAGCGAAAAACACCTTGCTGTGACTCTCCCTCAAAACACTCCTGCTCTCTTTGAACACATTTATCCCACGGTTTCCCCACTTTCTGAAGCACTTCTGGTAGTTCTCTTTCATGAGGTCTGATCAAAAACAGTTGTTGCCAAGCGCTGTCCAACAGGAAAGCGGGCTCATCCACCCTATTCACTGGATCCCCAAAGTCAAAATGAGCATGAAAATTAAACATCTTAAATCGATTCAGGACATCAGGGCAGCCATGACAGCACAACGACTGACACTCACCAAAGAGGACCTCCAGAGCTGCTTCAGGAAGTGAAAAGTGTGTTCAAACCAAGGAGCAGTATTTTTGAGGAGATTCATGGAAATGTGACTTTAAATTTAAAAATTTAAAAAAATTTTTTTATTAGTACACATTGTGATACATACCAAATACATTAATCATGGCGACTTGGTATATGTGGATTTGACATCTTAGCCCTATTTACTTCCCTTCCTCCCCTCTCCGTCCTTCGATCCGCTTCCCATCTGCACAAGGTCTAAAAACATTCACCCTATCTTTTGATCATTCCTCACGGAATGGAGGCATCAGACCCACCCTCATCGGCGCACTAGGGGTAAAGGTATGTGTGCGTGTGGCCAGCTCGCCCAGGGCCAGCTCACACTGGCATCCACTAGAAAAGACAATGCCCAGATGCTTCAGCTAAAGATGGCGGCCGAGCAGGAGCGCTCAAGAGGGACCACCATGATGGGGGTTTGAGGGCAGCGAGAGAGGTCAAACGACTCTGGGTACAGACCGTCCCTCACTTACTGGTTCAACTCAGCTCTTCGACTTTTGGACGATGTGAAGGGGGTACAGAGGTGGTCAACAGAAGCCACACTTCACATTCTGAATGGGCTGAGGAGGTGCGTGCGGTCTTCTTTCTGGACCCTGGTCAGGGCCCTGATCTGCAGCGCAGTCGACCCCGAGATCACAGCAGTGAACCGCCCACACTGTGTGGTGTGTAATGTTGCTACAGTTTTTGGGTTTTGGTATTTTCCACTTATAACTCACTTATAAGATCATAACCCCATCATAAATCGAGGAGCTATCATACACGAGCAATGGAGACTTAGCGCAAGGGAGGGGCGTGGGCCGGAGGATGGGAATACTGAGCAGGACCGTCAGGAGTGAGGCGGAGTCACACTACAGTGGCTTTTGGGGCCCTTGCTGCAGGCCAGCCATCGGGAGAACAGATCCAGGGTGAGGGGCGGGAGAACTGGACAGCTATCGTGGTGGGGGCTTTTAGCTAGCCTGACCCTACAGGATTCTTGCCTAAGAGGCCTGAGGGCAGAGCCCAAGGTCAGGACTCGGCCAGCAAGAGGACACAGAGGAGCCTGATTCAAACCAGACCAAAGGAGAGAGTCTTGGTCACATCTCAGTGCTGGCGACCACGATTAACCACACTCAGCTGGTTAATTGTAATAATTAACAATGTACCCTAATAGCTGGTTTGAGTCAGGGCTGCCCCAAACTCCGCTTTCTCCTCTGCCCTCGAAGGCGCTGACCTTGGGCTGAGCTGGTCCAGCAGATGGCAGAAGCCAATCTCTCCCCAGATGGCTTCAGTCACTGGCTTTGGGCCAGCCCTGCCTGCCCACTCCTTCCCGAAACAAGCAATGCCTCCCCCTTGGGAGCAGCCAGAAGCCCCTCGCCTCCTCCGCACCCCTCCGCACCCCTCGCCCTGTCCTCAAGGGGCTCCCGAAGCCCAGCTCCCAGGCCTTCTGACCGGGCAGGTCAGATATCTGGCGGTTTCTGCATCACCCTTACCTCCTGTGTGCAGCCTGCCCAGCGTGTTCATCTTCTCCCAGGCGTGAATGCTAAACCCCTCTCCCCGCCATTTGCCCCCCATCTGCTTCTCAGTTACTGTTTTCTGCAGACATTAAAACGCCCTCGGCCTCCAGCCTGGTGTACCCACAGAGTGAGCCTGTGAAACGTGCACGGGGCTTGCAAGGCAGCTGGAGGTAGCTTAATCCCGGCTCCGTAATTGACCAGCTGTGTGACCTTGGGCAAGTCAATTAACCTCCCTGAGCCCTGGGTTGTTTATCTGCCTGGAAAATGGAGACAGCCTTACTTACTTGAGCAGTGGGACTCCCCACTGGAAGAGAACCTGGGGTTTTTGGAGGGGCGAAAACTTTGATAAGCCCTCCGAGGCAGAGGGAAGAGTCCCCACTTTGTCCTCCACCGGGGGTGCTGCAGAACTGGAGGTGGCCGCCTTGGGCTGGCAACTGATTGTTGTTTTGGAGCTGGAGTAGGAGGTCAAGGAGGGGACAACAGAAGGGACTGATGCTTGGTGGAGGGATGGAAACGGAGGAGAGAGAAAGCTACGGACAGGAAAGAGGAGCCGGGCTGTCCCTCGGCGCTTCAGCTCTCCGTGGCAGGGTCAGCGTGGGGCAAAGCGTCACCAGGTCAGGGCTCTCTGGCCCTCTGAAACTAAAATTCATAAATTACAGAGGAAACCAGTGCTAGGAATATGGTGAGCAAACCGTGCAAGTTTGTTGCGCTAGTGTGCTAGGGAAGGAAGCGTCAGGGAATGTGCTAGTGTGCTAGGGGATCGAGCGATGAGATGCGGGGGGCGCTTAGCAAGCACGGTACTTGTGAAGCGTGCGTTTCGAGCATCTGCCAGAGCGGCAGTGTGGTGAGAGAAGGAGGCACCCCTGCTGGAGACCGTCACGGCCGCTCCACTGCGGTCTGTGGAGGGAAACACTAAGTGACATTTACAAGTCAGAGAAATAAAAAGCTAATTTCCCCCCACCTAGGTCCACAGACTCTCTCACACTGTGGAATTCCAAGCCACCAACCCTTCACGCATGTCTCCTCCCTAGTCCCCAAGCCCTGGGGAATCTCACCTCTTGCATGGCCTGTACCTCCCTGCCCACCGGGGCCTTGTGGCTTCTCACCCTGCTGGCCACAGCAGCCTCCTTACCTAAATACACCATTCCATCTGTGTTCTGCCCTGAACTCAGAACATTCTAAAATGCAAACCTGACCACGTCACCCCTCACTCTGAATTCCTCAGTGGCTCCCGACTGCCAGCACGGTAAAATCTGAAGACCTTTGCAAAAATATTTTTAAAAAAAATCTAGACCTTCCTCCAGCTCTCCTGGTTCATCTCTCAAGGTCCCTCTTCTTACTCTCTGCCTTCCTGCAGGGAATAAGAATGTTTAACTTTTAATAGTGAAAAATACTTTTGAGTACATGAGGCTTCATGTATTCATTTCTGAATACGTGAGGCTTCAGTGGGGAGAGGGCAGAGGCTTTTCCCTTCAGCTCCCCAAACTCAGACAGTGGCTGGTGCCCAGGAGGCCTTCAATGGGTGTTAGTAGATAAAATAAATAAAAGATGAAAAAAAACCAACCCATTCTCAGTTCTGAATGGCTGGGAATGGAGCAGGCACGGGTCAGACCGACACTGTGTTAGGACAATTGTATTTTTCTTGCTAGGGTCCCGCGCGTTGGGAATGACAAGTCACACGCGTTTTGATCTATGGAACGTGCTGCAACTTCTCGGATCCCGTTGACCATTCTCCAGGGGACCCCTCTGTTATTCACCCATATCTCAACTCGGGGGCGATTATTTCCTCTACCAAGTGGCTCCTCACTTCCCTTCCGTTCAGCAGAGTTAGTTCTTCCAGCTCATGAAGATTAGGATTACCAGATTTACAGAAATTACATTTACAGGTGGCTTTTCAGGAACAGAGGTCTCGCAGAGCCGAGCCTTCGCTCTCTCTGTCAGCCCTCCTCAAAGTATAGTTTACAGGTACCTGCCGGTGCCCTCCCGGCTTAACTCCTTGCCAACTGGCTCTGTTGACACCACCCTGGGCCCGGGAACACCAGACCCAGTGGCCTTTCCTTGGCATCCTCTCGCCTCTGCCACCCTGAGCTGTACAGTGCAGCTGACAATCGCATCCTTCCTAAAGTCCTTGTCCACATAGCTTCGCCCAGTGTCTCTGCCCAGCCGATACCGGTGCTTCAGTGTCCGGATGTGTTTGATCACTCCGGGTCCCACTCAGCATCTTTGTGCAGTTCACAAGGCAAAGAGGACCAAGCAGAGGACTGAGGTCTCCTCACCCCAAACAGGCTCCTCTTCCATAGCTGGGCATCGAGTCCAGGGTCTCAAGATGCTGGGCAAGGGCTCTGCTCCGAGCTACCCCCAGCCAGAAGGAAGGGCTCCTCTTTTCAGCCCATGAATGCCAGCAGCACCCACCCATTTTGTACAACCACTGCCTCTCCCTCGTGCCCCGAATCCACACACGACTGAACTGAAAGCATCACAGGCGAATCCTACCCTTGTCTCCCACATGTGTAAAGTCCCGCGAGGCTGGGGCTGCCTGCTCATGCTCGTTACTATGGCCCTAGGACTCAACACACAGCCTGGCATGCAAGAGACAGCGCTAAGTATGCGTCCAGGTGGGTGGCTACCACCTTTACAGATGGCAGACTTGGAGCTCAGAGGAGGCATGCTCCAGGCCCAAGCCTTATGGTCCGCACCATCAGGCCACACCCCCAAGGGTCTCTGAGTCCCGAGCCTTGGCTGTGCCGCGGTCTTACCTGAGAGCACCGTGAAGACTGCTGCAAAGGCGTTGAGCTTGAGCCCGTCGATGACGCTGCTGGAGTGGAAGAGCTCGAGACACATGAGGCTGAAGCCCACCACCAGCAGGAGGATGTAGAGCACCTCAGACACCACCGACAGCCAGAGCACCCCTGAAACAGAGGCAGAAAGGCCCACAGTAAGGCCCTCCTGGGGCTCCTCGTGTGCCCGCCCACCCCCGATGCCCACTGGGGCCACTGATACTCGCAGGATATCCCTGGCTGCTGGAAGGCCACCCAGCCAAGCCACCCTCCCTGGGGACTGGCTGAGAACCCAGCTGCAGTCAGTCAGGGTGTGATTTTCTTTGGGTAACCATTACCTGGCATCCTGTGACTGGTAAGTAACTAATCAGATTGGAAAGAAGATTCGTCCGCGGCTGCGCGGCCAGGAGGGCACTGCAGCTGCTAAGCAGAGCAGCTCTAAGGGCCGCCCTACTCCAGACTTTGAGACAAATTTCCCCGCCGTGAGCCCAGTGCTTGTGAGGATCTGTTACTTGCGTCCCACCTCATACACACATCATGCTTACCCTCGGGGGTGCCTACGTTTTCATCTACCCTGCATCTACTTTTCTATTTTCTAGAAACGACCTTTGCTACTCTCTAGGATTCAACTTTGTGGTTCTCCCAAGAAGCCGCCATGCGCGGAGAGGGGGGTGGGACTCCCTCCTCCTGGGTGCAGCTGATTGGTCCAGTCTGATCACCTGACCTAGAACTGACCAATCAGTGCCCTTCTCTGGGAAGCTGAGCAGAAAGCCGGCGAAGTACTCGGGAAAAGATTGGCTCAGAGGAGAGTCCAAGTATTCTGACCATAAAAGCTCCTGGGTCCAGCTGTTCCTGAAAGGCAGCTGCATCCCCAGCCCTTCGGAGGTTTTAATCATTAAACGTTTTCTTCCGTAAGATAACACAACCCCCTCCCCCTTTCTTCATATAATTTGCAACTCAGTGGGCATTCGCTGCCCCGCGCGTATTATTCCCTCTTCTTCCTACAAGCTTTTTACTTGAAGAGCATCCTTTCTACTGGTCTATGTGGGCCATAGACCCAGGTCCCATGTCCTGACTCAGCATTTGGACATATGATCATTTCTCGCCAATCAGAGCTTCATGTCCCTCGAACTCCCGTCATTGACTCAGGAATGAAGCTCTCTCTGCCTGTTTCCTCATCTGTAAAATGGGGATACTAATGACACCTATCTCATGATTTTGTTGTGCACGAGGGTTCATTTGCACAGCAAGGCAGAGAGTTTATGATCAGCACACAGTGGGGGTTCAAGCCACGCATACAGGAGGTGCACAGTAGGGCTATGTCCAGCAGCGACTGGAAGTGGAGCCAAGGGGCTCCTGATTAGGGAAAAGCTAGAAACAGAGGCAAAAGGGAAAAATGAAATTGGAGGTGCATATAAGACTTCTGAGCAAAAGGTGGCAAGGAGAAGATGCAGCTAGGAACACATTCCTGTGCCTTATTTTCCAAGCCACACTGGCCACGTGGCTCAAGCAAGGCCGCCCTTAGAGAGGGATGAGGAGCTGGGTCAGAGACGGTCCCCTGACCCAAGTCAGTGCAATGAGAGTTGGCCAAGGGATTTTACAGGAACTTCTAGGAAAGAGAAGCCCTCCTCTCCAGCAGGTTTGAGGTTGGAAGGGTCAGAAATGATTACATCACTGGCTGCAAGAACCTTTCTGAGAGTGAAGCCAATGCCAAGAACATCAGTCCAAAAGACGGAGGAAGGTTGTGTCCTGATGACACTGTTTGAGCCCTGGATCCAGCTAGGCCTAAAGCAGCCAGTCCTTTGTTCTTTTAGTCCCACGAACCAATTAATCACTTTCTTTGCCTAAGCCAGTTTGAGGTAGAATTTTATCACAAGAGTCCTCCTTTTCAGCTTTTCTCTTCTCTGGAGCATCAAACATGTCCTATTGTACATCTGTCTTTACACAAGTAGTCCCTGCTACCTGGAATGTCCAGGAAATACTATTTACCAAATTGTGTTAGTCAGCTTTACTTCACTGTGACAAAATGCCCGAGATGCACAGCTTACAGGAGGGAAGGTTTATTTTGGCTCTCAGTTTCAGAAGCCCTGTCCGTGGTCACTTGGCCCTGCCACTCTGGTTCTGAGACAAGGCTGAGCATCACAGTGGGGTGTGTGCTAGAGCAGAGTTGCCCACCTCATGATAACCAGGAAGCAGAGAGAGAGAAGGACCACAGATCCCAGTATTCCTCTAAAAGGCACACCCCCAGTGACCTACTTCCTCAAACTACAGCGCCTGCTAAAGTCTCTCCTGCTTCCCACCAGGGCCGCCAGCTAGGGTCCAAGCCTTCACCAGGCCAGCCTTTGGGGCCGGGCCATAGCCAAACTGTAACACAGAGAAGCAAACAGCAAATGCTGAGTCCCTACTGCTCCCGGAAACTCGGATTCTAAATACTCATTACCACAGCGGCGTTTTCAGAGTTGGGAAAACTCCCTTCCCCACTCCTCCCCCCTCCCCACCCCTCTCCTCCTTCTCTCCCACAAAACTATTCCATCTCCCAGGCAATCCCTTGGCTTTCTGTAAGCGAATAGTGTACACTTGACAGCCTGGATGTTGTTAAAACATCCCCTGGCCCCACACATTCATGGCCTTGGAGGCCCTCGGCTGGCCCAAGGCCCACGAGGCAGCGGGGAGGCAGGGAATCCAGGGAGGGCCGAGCCATGCAAGGGGATGGTCACCCAGGGCCAGCCCCCGCCACCCGGCGGCCTTCTCCCCTTCGGAGCTGCTGATGCTTCTCTTGCTTCCTTGGCAGCTGGCACTGGGAGCCACTGCTCCCCATGAGCACCACAGATGCAGCTGCCTCCCCTACCCGGCCCTCCGCCCAGGGATGGCTCATCCAGCCCCCACGGGCCCTGGGCCCGGCCCCGCTCCACCTCCCCTCCCAGCAGGTCCAGCTCTCCTCAGGCTGAGATAGGGGCTGGGCCCTGGCGGGCTGGGATCTCCTGAATCAAGTTAGCTATGGAGAATCAGGTCCTGGAATCAGAGATGCATAATTGGGCTCAAGGTTCTTCTTCCCTGTTGAATGCTAGATTCATTTCCGCGTCTTCTCACTGTGCTCCTGAGCATCTGTGTGGGAATGTCAGCCCACTCAAGCCCAGGCAGTGAATGACAATAATAATAAGTGTCCTTGTGTGTGCTAATAACAGCTGCCATGGTCACACTAAAGGGTGACCATTCCGAGGGGCTCGTTCTGTGCCAAGTCATGGCGGACAATAATGGTGTCCCAGCCAACCTCCTGGGTCGCTGTGTGCATTTCTGTCATCAGAGGACTGTTGTGGACAGCTGGAGCCCATTCTGCCCACCTTTGTTCAGACAGTGGCTGAGACCTTCTAGGTCCTTCTCTATGCTTAGCGGCAGCCCTGTCCTCCGGCTCTGGCTGGGTTGGCTCTGAGATGTGACCCGTGCTGAGAGCGAGGCTTCCCTGGAGGAAGACCCAGTCATTGTCCTAACTCCACTCTGTCTCTCACCTGTCCTCTCTCTGTCTTTCTCTCTGAGTCATTTCTCCTCCCCAGCTTCTCTCAGGTTCCAGGAACAGGAGGCTGGCAGGCTGACAACCTCATGACGGGAACTGAAATTACCCCCTCCAGCAGCAACCCCTCCCCAGGGCTTCAGGACCCTGCAGACCCAGACCCGAGACCACGGTCACCCACACTGCAGTTTGACCAGGACGACTTAACCGCGTGTGTTTCTTGCCCCCGGCTTTAACTCTTCCCCTACTTACTATTGTAGCCACTATCAGTGCCCAGGGGACAGGGATCAGGACGCCGGTGCCCCTGTGCTTTCCAAGAGTGGCCACAATGGATAGATTCCTGCTTCGCCTCCCGTTTCCCCTCTGTGTGGCTGTGGTATGGCCAAACCGAGTCTCGTGGAGTCCAGATCCCAGTAACAGTCCCTCGAAGCTTCTGTAGGGTCAGACTCTCCTGCCATGGCCCCCTCACCTCCCTCCCCGACCCTGTACACGTTCCCAATTCTCTTACAAGTGTTCCCGGTGAATTCCCCTCTCAGGGCTGTCTGGAGAACCTGACTTGAGACTGGAATTCACATGGATCCCCTCCCCACCATGACCTCAGCCAACCCAGCTGCTCCGCCCCCTTGGGCTCCAGATCTCCAGGGCCAGACCTGAGCCAAGCGCCTCCTGACTCCCGAGAGGTGTAATGCGTCCCCATTCACAGAGGAGGAATGAGCCTCCCAGGGAGTGCGCTCCTGAGCAGTGGGAGAGTCTGGCTTCAAAGCCGGGCCCTCGGGCCCCAGGAAGCGCCTGCGTAGGGGTGCAGCTGGCAGGAGGGAGTGGCCTCTCGAAGATCCACTCCCTGGCTCTCAGGTCGGGGCCCACAGGGATGTGAGGTGCAGGTGCCCTAGTCAAGACCCCCACCCTGGCTGTTCTCCACATCCAAGGAATTCCCAAGGCAGGATTCCGGGCAGCCCGCCCCGCGTCTCCTAAGCCAAGCGCCGCGGCCCTTTGGTTCCTGCGATTCTGAGCCCGGCCAGCCCCCAGGGGTGATGGGGAGGTGGCCAGACTTGGAGAGAACTGTTGTGGACATGTGCAGGACAGACAGGGGACACAAGGCCTGCCCCAGGCTGACAGACACTGAGGCTCTCAGTAAGGGGACATGAGTCCTGTGGGAAAGTGGGGAATGGACAGGAAGGAGCCTAGGCCTGGAGGAACCTGCTGGAGGCTTCAGCCACTGTCCATCCAAATAAAGGTAGCCGTGGCCGCAGCTGTGGCCTTACAAGACTGAGGACAGGTGGGTGAACTTGCAATGCTCAAGGGACACACTCAGCAGGCTGGCGTCCTAGAAGTGGGGGCCAAGGAGAGGGAGGAGACGGTGCCGTGCTTGTTTCTCTCACGGACGCCTGAACAGAGACATTCGCTGCCTGGGAAGGAGAACACTGAAGCAGGAAGGTGCTGAGGCTACCGCGGGCGTCCGGCAGTCTCCATCTGCGAAGAGACTTCCAGCAGCACTGCCCAGGAGGCAGCCAGAGCTCCGACAGGGAAGTGAGGGCAGTGGCCAAATGCAAGCACTTGCTAAGAATCTGCTGTGATTGTCAAATAGATGGCGGCTGGCGGCTGGGAGCCGTGAGCCTCCGCGAGCACGTAGCGCCAGAGAATCAGGAGGGAGGGATTTAGCTCAGCGGCAAAAGCGCCTGCCTGGCAAGCGCAAGGCCGTGAGTTCGGTTCCCGGTACCGGAGAAAAACCAAAAAAATAAAAATAAAAAAAAAGGAGGGAGGGTCCCCAGGACTTAAGGGGAGGAGGCGGCAGTGGGGGGGTGCTGGGAGGTGGAGCAGACACAGCGGGTGGCCCCCAGCCTGGGCAGTGGTGGCGCCTGCGTGCCTCTCCCGCGGGCTGCGCTTGTGCTTCTCTGCCTGGGGGCCGCCCTGGTCAGCAGCGCCCACCCCCCCTCAAGAAGGTGACACTGCACAGCACGGTCTAGTTGGTGGTGTTTTCTCACAAATGGCTTTAAATGGTGTCGAGTCCCCAAATCAAACTAAACCAAAGAGGAAGGAAGGAGCGACTCACTTTCCCATCTTGTTCCCTCCATCAGAGAGTCTCCCGCGGTGCTAATGGGTCCTTAACACCTTCCTAACACT